ACGTCGATGGTGGGGGGCAGGCGGGGGAGCACATCCTGGTAGCCGAGTCCTTGGGGCAAGAATCACGAAGTTAATGCGAATGGGGGAAGAAAGAGTTGGGGAGAGTCCAGGAGAAGGTCCTACCGATCGCGGCCATCTTGCCCTTGATGAGCGGGACCGCGTTGGAGGCCTTGCCACGTGCAAACGCGGCCAGGATCGCCTGCTCCTCCGTGAAGCAGCCGTCGGCGTAGGCGCAGCCCAGCTCGCCTGCGGAGTGGCCCACCATGCCTTCCGGGACGACACCCACGGCCGTGAGCACGTTGGTGAGCGCGACCTGGCAGGCGGTGATGCCCACGAATGACTTGAGGATGTTGTCGAACGCTGTCGGCCCCGTTTCAGTCAGGATGGCCTTCAGGTCCATCCCGCGTGGCTCCAGCACGGCGTGGAGGCGGTCGATGGTCTCGGCGAACACGGGGATCTTCATGAGCGCCGTTCCCATGCCCGCCCACTGACTGCCCATGCCCGAATACACGAACCAAACTGGCCTCTTCTCGAGCGGCTGGCGATGGTAATATCATAAGTGTTATGGTTCCTCAAAACACTGGCCAGGCCACCCACCGCACACAACTTACCGCGACAAGGGTGTCATTCCCGACGGAGGGGCAGATGACGTAGCCCCGGTAGGTGTACCCTCTGATGTCGTCGCTGAACACGTCTTGCAGCAAGCGGTAGTAGTTTGTGTGAAATGGAGCGGATTGTATCTGCGTTTTACGAACAAAACTACTAAATGTACACGGGAGAAAAAAAAATCAGGCAAATTTGGCACCCCACCCGTGCCAAAAAAATAGCTATAGGATAAAATATTTAGCTGTACTGCTAAGTAGTATTGGCGATACAGCTAGTTCATTGCTTCAGTTTGGTGTACTACTAAAAGGTTAGCAAGGAAGCTAAAACAAATAGCTGGGCCAATGCTGACGAATTTTTTGCACTAGTGCTAAAAAAATTAGCTAGGGTGCTATTTTTGTTTTTGCGTGTTGGCCTCATTTTGTTCTGGATGTGCGCCACGGACTTACCTTGTTGACGACTCTTGCGGCTGCCTCCTCGTTTCTGGCCGAGAAGGTGATGAGGCGCGGCAGGTGGTCGGCGGGGTCCTGGACGCGGCCGGGGCCGCGGGGGTTGCCCCCTAGCACAGCGTGGCCCACCATGGAGGAGAGTGCCATGGTGTGGACGGCCAGGACGCTGTCCTCGGACAGGTGCAACGGTGTGTTCTTTTCAACGACCTGCAGCAGTACGAAGAGGTCATGATCCTGTTAAGGTAGAAAGTATCTCCTCGCCCCAGTCGACGCACCTGGAGCCTGCCCGCTACCAAACCCGTGGCCTCGCTGTTGGGCTCCTGGAAGTTGATTGTGGCCGGGATGACGCCCGTCTCCATGGCGACCACCATCTTGCAGATCGCAGCCAGGCCGTTGACGCAGTCGACGTGGCCGATGTTGCTCTTGACGGAGCCTATCTGCAGGGGGCTTTCTCGCGCCGCCTCCTGGACCAGCGCCTGGTCGATGGCGTTGAGCTCGCACGCGTCCCGGATACGGTTGCCGTTGCCGTCGGCTTCCAGGTAGGCGATCGTCTTGGGGTCGATGGCGTGCTTCTCGTAAATCCGCCGTAGGAAATTTCGGGTGCCCTTTGGGCTGGGCAGTGTGAGGTTCAGGTCGCATCTCGGCCCTATGAACTCGACCTCGGTGGCCAGCACCCTGGCGTAGCACCGCTTGGCCTGGTCGGCGCGCTGCAGGAACAAGGCGACGGCCCCGTCACTGCGCACCGCCCCTGTTCCTGCAAGATGAGCAAAACGTTGAGGTCGAGCTGGTAGTCGCGATACAGTGTGTTTGGTTACGTACTTCATTTACCTTTCGCGTCGAAGCTCCTGGTGACCCCCTCGTCGGTCACGAGCCCCAGCTTGTTGAGCAGCAGCGAGGTCTCGCCGTAGCGGCTGATGCTCCCGGCTACGACGAGTGCGGCGTCGCACCGCCCCTCCCGGATGGCGTCGGCGGCTTGCTGTAGCCCCAGGAGTCCGCCTACCCAGGAGCCGTCGACGGCGTAGCTAGGCCCTGGTGGACGCGCGATGGGTTAGACAGGACGGGACTCGTGTTTTCTACCTTGCCTTTCCTTCTGAGCACCTACCGTTGAAGTTGAAGTAGTACGTGAGGCGATTGGGTAGCATGGGCCGTGACATGCCCATGATGATGTAGCCGTCTTTAAGCTTCTCCATATCGCCCGTGTGAAAGAAAGTCTGTTCGAACTCATTGATGCCGGAGGACGCGAACACGCCCGTGTTGGAGCCGCTCAGGGCCGCTGGGTGGAGACCTGCGAAAGGTAGTCAGTGTATGTCCCCGTCAGCATCAGCCTGCCGTCATCTCCGCCGACCGGTTGCCCATCGGCCTGCCGTCACCGCTTCTTACCGGCGTCTAGGATGGCCTCGAAGCCGCGCATGTAGCCGATCTTGGACGATGGGTCCATCACCACGGCCAGCCTGCGGCTGATCCCGAAGAAGAGCTCGTCGAAGTACTCGTAAGGGGTTTGGCCGCATACAGGCGTAAAGACGTCTGCGTTGAAATAAACGTGGAGTGTCGTCGGATTATACCCGGAGGTCTCACGCATAGTTACATATCGTCCCTGACGACCACGCCACGACGCCTTACTGCCCGAGGAAGCAGGCAACTTGCATCCCGACGTAGAAGCGGTGCAGTGTGAGGGTGTGTGATAGGGTCTTTCAAATACTAGGTGCTTTTTGAGGGGTGTGTGTACAAATATTGTGGATTCTCAAATGGATCCGGACCATCATTGAAGCACGTAGGGCCCTTATCATATTTGTACGTCGGGGTACATGATCATTTTGTTACCACATAAAATTTGTAGCCCCCCCCCCCCCAAACCAGAAAAAAAATTAAATAAAGTAAAGACATGTAGTATTTGAACGACCCCCTACGAGAGCAGTCAGGAAAAATCAACTGCGCAACATTTGAAAACACTGTAAAAAAAGTTTTACTGAATTTTCAGTATTTTTAGTCTGAAGTTTTTTTACAGACCAGTAGTCTGAAAATTCAGACTGCACCCGGGTCTGAAATTTCAGTAATGCCTTACCATACCACTTAGTCTGAAAATGCAGACAGCCGGTATGAAAATATTTTTGAAAATGTTAAAAATGAACACATAGCGAGCGACTTAACAGCTGTGGGGGTAGAGGGCTATGCCCAGGTGAGGACATATCTGTCCATTCGGTACTGCCCTTGGTTGGGATCGAACCGCCAACCGTCAGGTTCGGAAGCCGCAACCTTAACCATTCGGCTGCCGGCTACCTGCGTGGGGAGCAGCGTCGACTACTAGTGTGCTTCGTCCCCCTGTTTGGTGGACTTTTCACTCAAAATTAATACCGGTAACTCTGAATTGTAGATTTAGTGTATAGTCTGAAAATATACTTTAAAATATTCAGACAAATTGCTCTGAAAACCTGAATCAGAGTAAAGAGTCTGGATTTTCAGTCTAAACTTAGAAAATTTTGAGTAATGGTCTGAAAACATGATTTAGAGTGAGAATTCTGAAAAACATCTACTGAATTTTCAGAATTTTTTTTACAGTGAAGTCATTGCTCCAGCGCGCTGGGATCGCTCACTATCTCTCCAGCGCTTCGTCCTCTGCACGAGGTGCTTGTTGTCGAGGAGGTCCCGCCCGAAGTCCTGGAGATTGCCGCTCCCCGAGAAGGCGCTCCCGATTCCCGAGATGACAACTTCGCTCATGGTGGTGTGTTGGAGTGGAGCACTCGCGAGGGAATGCCAGTGCGAGACCGGGCGCGCTCTTAAAGTACAGCGTGTAGTACAGTGCTGACAACAAAACGGAAAGTACCGAGCCCCCCCGGACGGAAGCTCCCCCTCCCCCACCACAGGATTGCTATTCCCATCGAGCCGGAAACAAATGCCCTGAAATGCAAGGCAGAGATAATTTATGCGACAGTGCTATTTTTTTTGCGCTATACCGTTCAAGTTGCTTCGTCCAGCCCACATCGGGCAAAGCCCAGACCACACTCTTTAGCTGGGTTGATTTGCCGCTTCTTCGACGGTCTTTAGCCACGAAAAATTAATAGAGCAGGAAAGCCTCGAGGACTTTCGGAGGAGACCCGGGCTTACTGATGTGGCCTACTTTTCTAATTCCAACAGTGTAATTAGGATTTTGGAACATTGACGGCCGGGGGCGGGGGGAGGGCGGCGGTTGAAATATGATAAGAAATTCTAGTTACTAATTACGTTGGACAGTCTGGTGGATTACGTGTGATTTCCTAAGGATTGAAATGCCAAGAACGTTTATAGACCCACCCTGCGGCCCTATTTCATATATTTCATATACTGTAAAAAATATGTGTCGGAAAATCCCATAAATGTGTGTGAAGCAAATTACATACACGGTGTGTGGGATTTTCCCTTTACCACTGTGTTGGAAAACTTTCATACGAGTGCAGCAGACTTCCTTGACCGGTGTGGGATTTTTCCCATACGTATTTTGAAAATAAAAATGACACAGGGTGGCCCACAGACTCCTTCATTTATTTTACTTTTACCACTGCGTCGGCGCGAGGACGTCCTCGGCATGAAAGTGAACTTTTGCCAACCATAATAGTTATCGTAATGTTAGCGAAGAACTAGTGATGTGGCTCAACCTATTTTTTTCCAGGCATAACAAGGTTCGTGCGGTTCGTGCGAAATAATGTGGTGTAAGGTGAAATGTTGTAAAGGGGCAAATAGTGGTTGAAACGACTTGTGATTTATATTATATGGAAAATAACGGAAGGTATTTAAATACCAATGTGCAAATTTATTATCACCCATTCTAATGCTAAATATCAGAGCGACGAGCTCGCTAGGGAAATAGCAAGGCTCAGGTCGGCCTCGCCAGCGAGCTGCGACCAGGCAGCGTTCTCGTTGATGAACGCGGCCAGCGCCTCGCTGTCCAGCCTGCGGTCCGCGAGGGTCTGCACCTTGACGTGGGGGTCCTTGTCCTGGAACGCGATATCTGGTAAGACGGTGCACGACGGTGTTGTAAGATAAAGCAGCATGCGCTCAAACTCACGCTTTGTCCCAGCGACTGCAGCTCATATTCGCTGGTGCGGACGATGTTAACGTAGCCGGCGAAGGGCCGGGATACATCAGACTTGTGCGCCGCGACGGCCTCCAGGAGCTCGTCGAGGACCTGAGCTCCCTCCTCAGCTCGGGCAGCCTCGCCGTTCACGAGCCCGTCCCGGACACCGTCAACAATGTCGCCGCCCAGGCGCTGCTCGGCCCACTGTTGCACCCTGGTGACGTCGCCGTGCACCAGGAAAAGCACGCCGCGCTTGCCAGCCGCCTCGAGCTGGCGCTGTACCTCGAGCGCTAGCACCGTGCTCAGGCGCCAGCCCAGCAGGTTGTAGGGCCCGTGAGGCTGCCGGTCTAGCACCGCCCGCACCACGGCCTTGGCTGCGACCTTGACGCTGTCCCCCGGCGTGGTCTCCACCACCAGCACGGGGCTGAACAGCCTGGCCGCGAGCCCGGCCAGCTGGCTTTTGGAGGTTGGGTCCAGCACGCTGAGCGGCGGCAGCACGAACAGGTTGCTGTTCTCCCGCGAGGAGTGCGATGCCTGGCCCAGCGAGGTCAGCTCTACGATCCGCGGCAGTTGCGACCGTTGGCTGTCGGCTCTGCTGAGCGCAGCAAGGGCGTCCACTGTCAGCGACAAGGACAAGTCCTTATCCGCCCCCGCGCCCTGGTCCGAGATGGCCGAGGGCAGGACCTCGAGGGACGAGATGTGGAGCAGGTCCCCGAGGCGCTCCGAGGCCTCGCCGAGGCTGGCGGCTAGACAGCTGGTGGGCCATCCGAGCGACTGACGCTGCTCGGCCAGGGCGACTAGGGGTGCTGCCAGACACTCTCGGTCGGCGAGCAACACAAGACC